AGCGGGGGAGCGGTGCGGCGCTCGGCGGGGGGGGCGTCAGGGTCAGTCGCTTTTTTTTGCTGCTTGGGGCAGCAAAAAAGCTAGAGCCGGCCCTGCTTAAAGACGATACAGTCATTGCGGAGAAACTAAATGGATTCTTTGCTTCAGTCTTCATGGCTGAGGATGTTAGGGAGATTCCCAAACCTGAGCCGGCTTTTGTAGGTGACAAATATGAGGAACTGTCACAGATTGAAGTGTCACTAGAGGTGGTTTTGGAATGAATTCATAAACTTAACATTAACAAGTCACCGGGACCAGATGACATTCACCCAAGAGTTCTGAAAGAACTCAAATGTGAAATTGCCGAACTATTAACTAAGGTTTGTAACCTGTCCTTTAAATCAGCTTCTGTACCCAATGATTGGAAGTTAGCTAATGTAATGCCAATATTTTAAAAGGGCTCTAGAGATGATCCTGACAATTACTGCCCGGTAAGTCTAATGTCGGTACCAGGCAAATTAGTTGAAACAATAGTTAAGAATAAAATTGTCAGACACATAGGAAAACATAAACTGTTGAGCAATAGTCAACATGGTTTCTGTAAAGGGAAATCGTGTCCTACTAATCTATTAGAGTTCTTTGAAGGGGTCAACAAACATGTGGACAAGGGGGATCCAGTGGACATAGTGTACTTAGATTTCCAGAAAGCCTTTGACAAGGTCCCTCACCAGAGGCTCTTACGTAAATTAAGCTGTCAGGGGATACAAGGGAAGGTCCTTTCATGGATTGAGAACTGGTTAAAAGACAGGGAACAAAGGGTAGGAATTCATGGTAAATTCTCAGAATGGAGAGGGGTAACTAGTGGCGTTCCACAAGGGTCAGTCCTCGGACCAATCCTATTCAACTTATTCATAAATTATCTGGAGAAAGGGATAAACAGTGAGGTGGCAAAGTTTGCAGATGATACTAAACTGCTCAAGATAGTTAAGACCAAAGCAGACTGTGACGAACTTCAAAAAGATCTCACAAAACTAAGTGATTGGGCAACAAAATGGCAAAAATAACCCCAACTATACATACAATATGATGGGGGCTAATTTAGCTACAACAAGTCAGGAAAAAGATCTTGGAGTCATCGTGGATAGTTCTCTGAAGATGTCCATGCAGTGTGCAGAGGCGGTCAAAAAAAGCAAACAGGATGTTAGGGATCATTTAAAAAGAGGATAGAGAATAAGATTGAGAATATATTATTGCCCTTATATAAATTGATGGTATGCCCACATCTCGAATACTGCGTACAGATGGGGTCTCCTCATCTAAAAAAAGATATACTGGCACTAGAAAAGGTTCAGAAAAGGGCAACTAAAATGATTAGGGGTTTGGAACGGGTCCCATATGAGGAGAGATTAAAGAGGCTAGCACTCTTCAGCTTGGAAAAGAGGAGACTAAGGGGGGATATGATAGAGGTATATAAAATCATGAGTGATGTGGAGAAAGTGGGTAAGGAAAAGTTATTTACTTATTCCCATAATACAAGAACTAGGGGTCACCAAATGAAATTAATAGGCAGCAGGTTTAAAACAAATACAAAGAAGTTCTTCTTCACGCAGCACAGTCAACTTGTGGAACTCCTTACCTGAGGAGGTTGTGAAGGCTAGGACTATAACAGCATTTAAAAGAGAACTGGATAAATTCATGGTAGTTAAGTTCATTAATGGCTATTAGCCAGGCTGGGTAAGGAATGGTGTCCCTAGCCTCTGTTTGTGAGAGGATGGAGATGGATGGCAGGAGAGAGATCACTTGATCATTGCCTGTTAGGTCCACTCCCTCTGGGGCACCTGGCATTAGCCACTGTCGGTAGACAAGATACTGGGCTAGATGGACCTTTGGTCTGACCCAGTACGGCCGTTCTTATGTTCTTAGTCCTTGCTATTAAGTACTTCTGGGCTTAAGTTATTTCTCTGAGACCTTCTGAGTAAACAGATTTCCTATTTCAACAGCTCAGGGTCTAGGTTCTGATCCAAAGCCCATTGAAGCTAAGTGGTATGTGCTGCTTATGCTGTCCTGTAATATGACGTAATGGATATAAAACTCTGAAAGGACTGCGTCACAGGTAATTCCCCACTCTGGCACTTTGAGTGCAGAAGTTGGGGGCCCGCAAGGATTCTAAAAATTAATACTGGCCACTCCAGGCTTGTATTAAACTCCCAAGGTTGCAGCTTTTCTCTGACCTTGGATTGGTAGATGCTGCCACCACCCAAGTGCAGAACTCCTTTGAGAGCCCAGGAAGGCGCACTTGGGAATTCCTTCTGGTGGGGTACCCTCAAACCCTTTCACGCCCCCCCCCTCTGGGGAAGCGCTGAGAAGGGGAGAGGCGGGGGGAGGAAATCAGCTGTTGCCACCAGCTAATTAAACATGTGAACAAACCTCTTCAGACACAAAATCCAATTCTGTTTTAAAGAGGTTTTTTTTTATTTTTAAAAAAGCAAGAACATACATCTGGGAACTCAGGCTATTGCTAGATTTTTAAGCGCAACTACAAGGATTAAGCATCAAGAATAGCTTTCTTGAGGTCCAGCTTAAAGGTTATAAGCAAAACAAAAGCACCTGGGTTAGCACAGAGAAATCCACAGGCCACAAAGAAATAAAAGGGATAAACCTAATTGCATCTTCTTAGACATTTCCTAATCTATTTACATATCTGAGGTTTTAAATTAGTAGTTTCTAGGTCTGATACTGATTTTTCTTTTTTTTCTTTTTCATACCTGGCCCAAGCTTCTTACAGCATAGCTCTGCCCTGTCCACCTCTCCCCAGCAGAACATCAACAGACAGACAAAAGGGGACTCATTTTTCAATTGTAAAAAGTTCTAGCCTTCCCATTGGCTCTTTTGGCCAGGTGCCCACTCACTTCCTTTTACCTATGCATAGCAGTGAGACTTTTTAACTCTTTACAGGTAGAGCAATTAGAGAAAAGCTACTAAGAGGGATTTTATAGCTGCTGGCTGGCTAGGGGCTCATAAAAGGGAGTTACCCCCCACCCCCTTCACTTATCACAGCATGAGATTAGAGTGGCTGAATTAGTTACAAGAGATGAAGTCACCTGACTGAGTTATGGAGATAATCCTGTGTGAATCTCTATAGAATCTCACCAAACATGCTCAAAAATAAGATTATGGGAATCCTAGCTTAGAAATGAATAAAGTCTTAATTTTTATCATGCCTGATGACTAGGGTGAATTTTACAAAGAGGAGCAAAAATACTGCCAGGCTGAAGAAGACTCCTTAGGGTACATCTACACTACAAAAATAACCCCCTGTGGCAGCGACTCTGAGCTCAGGTCAACTGACTTGGGCTCACACTCCAGGGCTAAAAAAAGTAGTGTAGCTGTTCCTACCTGGGCTGGGCTCTGAAACCCAGAAAGTGGGGGGTGTCTTGGATCCTGGGCTCCAGCCCAAGCCCCAACATCTATGCTGCTATTTTTAACCCCATAGTGTGAGCCCAAGTCAGTTGACCCAGGATCTGAGACTTGCTGCAGCAGGGTGTATTTTGGTCCTTGCAGTGTAAATGTACCTTTGAAGGCCACACGGCCTAGAAGGAGAGTCCAGAACTCCTGAGCTCTATTTCCACCTCTGCTACTGACTGACCAGTATACTTTGCACAAAGGGCTGATCCAGAGCCCACTGTGGTAGTGCTAGGTTTTGCACAGGTAGGGTCAGTTTGTACTTTTGGGAAGAGTTCAGTTTATCACAAGTGTCTAGCCCTGAGGTTTAGGCCTGGATCTATTTCTGCTTCCTTGCAGTTAAGACTGGTGCATTAACCAAGTTGGCTTAATTCTCAATGTTTCATTAGGTTTATAATTAAATATTCCAATCCTACAGCATACCTGATTGCTACATTTAATACATTTCATGGTCTAGCTCCTTGGTAAGACCAAAACTAAGGCTAATCACCATGTCACTGTGTTAATATGGGAAGTCTATTTATCCATTTCCTCAGGGTAGATTAAGCTAAACCTCTTCCTCAGTTTTTGGCTGTGTTATGCTGGCATAGAAAGGGGTGAGGAAGAAAAAAATGCCTCTACCAAATCACTCTAGACCAGCTGAAGCTCCAAAGAAAGTGCATGGGTTCAAGCAAGATTGCACTGTAAATGTTTTATGCCCCGCATAAAGTAGAGAATTATTACACTTTATCAGTGTCAGTTGGGTGACTTATCTGAACTTCTGTGGCCTAAAAGAGCTCAGGAGTGCACAAGATCTTTAGCACTTCCTGGTACAAATCAGGACAGACATGAGACAAAAGCAACTTCACAGTATTTTAGTGTTTCTGCCTCCAGATGAAACCAACGATGGCAAGGAGCACAGGCAGAGATGGGGGGGTGGGGGTGGCAATGGACAAGAGCAAAAGCAAATTCGATCTTTCCCAAACTTCACAAAAGGTTGGCTTTGAACCTGGGACAAAAGCTTGTGTGTGTTAGTTTCTCCAAACCAGTATGCTTATTTCTTCTAATTACTCCATAAAATTCTGGTCTGGATTAAGTCTAACATATGCCTTTCCAAGTGCCTTAAACAATAAAAATTAATGTTCTTTGGGGACAATATATATAACTCTTAAGGGGGGAGGCAAAAGTGACAATGGCGAAATGTATATAGAATGATTACAAATGGATTATAAATTACTCTAACAGATCTGGAAGTGTATGGGACACTTGAATGCTATAGAATCATGGAATACTCAAAGCCTATTGTATTGAGATATGACAGAGTAGGGAATATTCAGACTATCGTGTTAATATATGTATCTTTATGGGCTTCCTAGTGATTGTATTCCTGGCCAAAGGGGTAAGGTAAAGAATGCTTCCTGCAGATAAGGCATATCCTCAATACTGAAATGAGGCAGGTAACAAGTCTCTTGAAGCTTCACCCTCGGGAGGCAGAGTACAGACTGGTCTAACCTGGTTCAGAGGACCTGACCTGCATAAAGTTATTCCTGGCCTGCCTGCGTAACTGTCAGAACACACATGGCTCGCTTGTGGCTCCAGTTTTAGAGTAGATGAACCCTAAATTTCCACTTTTCCCAAAGCCTGAAGGGACAGATGCTCATTTCTTGCATATCCTTTGGATAGGGTTGAGGTGAGAACTTAATTAGCAAATATCTTGGCAACTGAATAATCATAGTTTCTACTGCGGACTGATAAGTGAGATACTAGTGGTCAGCCTGATTCCTCCAAAACTATCTGCAGGAAAGCTGAGGGAGGTGTCCAACAAATAAATCAGATTTTTAAAATTTGTTTCTAGCTTTTTACTTATTTTACAGTCTTATCCAGTTCAGCTATTTATCTTGTGTTTCTCTAGATTCCTAATTGTTAGTAGATTTTATGTAGAGATTTTTCTCCAAAATAAATAAATCAAGTTTAAAATGGTCATATGTCTTGAAAAAGAGTCCAGGGTCTCATTAGCATCCTTCTGTGAGAACACCACAAGCTCACATACGAAATTCATAAGGCAATAGTCCCTGCTATATTTGCAACCATTACCACCCTCAGATACAGTGAACCGTCACAAGTTAAGAAACCTGAAATGCTTTAACCAGGCTATGCATGTCTGGCAGTTTGCACTCTGAAGTCAATAGGGCATGTGCCCCATAGTCATTCTAGATGCTTTTTAAAAATCTCACTCTTAGGCTTTTAAAACCAGATTTAGACACTTAACTTTAGGATTCTTATTTTGAAAATTTGCCCTGTGAGAATGAAAAATTCACAATACATTTGCTAACCCACTGAAAATATCCACAAATTTTCATTGTTGATACTGAGGCAATTTTGTATGTAAGTGACAAATTTTATGCCACTAAAGTTTTTAATAGAAATACAGTTTTAGCCACTGATGGAGCAAACCTTTATGCCCATGCCTAACTTGAAGCACATGAGTAGTCCCATTGAAGTGAATGGGTTTAGTTGTGAAAGTAATAGGGTGACCAAATGTCCTGATTTTATAGGGACAGTCCTGATACTTGGGGCTTTGTCTTGTGTAGGCGCTTATTATCCTCCACCCCCTGAAACCTGATTTTTCACACTTGCTGTCTGGTCACCCTACTGAGTAAAGTCACCTACTTGATTAGGTTTTTGTGGGATCAGGGCCCTAATGGTTAATGTTTTGTGTTGCTTATAGCAATTTTGTAACATTCAGATTCCCTACCAGTTGTGGCATTTTAAAAAACAGCATTTTATAATGGAGTTCATGATACGGTTTAATCTGAAGTTGCAATTGCCTACATTTTTGATTTAGTTTTAAATCAGGCTGCGATTATGGAAATCAATTATTTAAAAAGACAATCAAGTGGTTGAAATAATGATTTCAACCACTCGATTGTCTTTTTAAATAATTGATTTAAATCAGGTTGCGATTCTGAAAAACTAAATCGAAAATGTAGGCAATTGCAACTTCAGTCACCCTCATTTATATCCCTCCAGCCTACTGTCATGGAATTGCCTCAGACATCAGTAGGGCAATAGTGGCTGTCAGCCGGCAGCCACAGTATTATAGTGCTGCACTAGTGAAATATATACGTATAGGATAATAGTACAGAGAAGAATGACCTAAGGTTCAAGGTGACACAGGGAAAAGCAGCTGGGCCCATGGAAGCTGGCTGGATTAGCTAGCAAAGCTCTCAGGGTAGGTTCAATATAAAAACACGTGTGTCCCCCTCAAGTCCCCATCCATTACAAGAGAAGTTATAGAGAGGGAAGGGATGAGTTGAGTAATGGTTGGTTATTTGACTAAGATTGGGGGGCAAACTCCCTGCTTTTCATGGAAATCTTGGCTGTCTTAATTCTAACTGGGACTTGGGGTTCTCTTTGACCATAACTTTCACTTATAGCACCTTTTATCCAAGAATCTCACTGAATTTAGCCTCATACCACCACTGGAGTTAAGGGTTATTGTCCTAGTTTTGCAGATGATGAAACTGAGGCACAGAAGTTAAATGGCTTTGGTCACACAGCAGGTCAGCATAACCTGGATCTCCAGTCTCCCAGTCCTATGTATTCTCAACAATTAAGCCATAAAGGCTACAAAATAGCCAAGGAGCTGAGTTTTTATATTTTCATTATTTTTTTTAACGCTAAGGAAGAAAATTAAATATACAAAACATAGCTTCTGGTTAGCTTTTTGTTAGTGGCATGTTTAAAACAAACAAAGCCAAACTGGTTGAGGTAGTAAAAGACACAGTCGGGGTCAATCAAGTTAGGTAGTAGTAAGGATGGTGTTTGGAAAGCCACCTCTGCCACGTAGGCACAGCATGAGGCAAAGAAAGTGAACTATATAAAGTCGTTTGTGCTCTTGTATAAACTGATCTGAACCTTTAATCTTCCACTCTGGTTTTCTTTCTACTCTACAGAGGAAAACACTTTGGCAATGTTTTCAAGATTCATTTGCCTACCCCTTATTTTTAAATATAAGCAACTGACAAGACAGAACCAGGAAAAGAGAAGCTAGGAAACTAATTTACTTAATCACACAGGGTTGACATTTGTGGTTTTCCATACAAAAGGAAATACAAGGAAACTAATTCACCTCTATCTTTGTAGTGTGTATGTGAAAGATTAGTAAAACATAGAATGAAAAGGGAGGGAAACAGCAGAAAGTAAAGAGAATCAGGAACAAAGGAAATGTTGATTCATAGTAAGCCAACTGCCTGCTTTTTAACCAAAGCACAAACGCTATGTTCAAACAACATTAAGGTTTATAATATTCCTTAAGAGATTTTATCTTTAAGGCTGCTGTTGTGTGCTAATGTACCAGGAAATCATGTCTACAGATAAAGTAGTTCTTCCAAACTTTCACCACAAAGCAGAAAAAAGTTATGCTGCAATTTTTTTGAGTCCCCCACCCCCTAAAAAAGTGTGGGGCTCTTTCCCCAAGACCGGTGGGGATGAAATGTGATGCTTATGTACAACTTCCAGATCAATCACTTTATCGCAGAAACAGAGGACTGTACCAGCACTCCACATCTGAATACTCCTGAACTGCAGTTCCCATTATATACATTTATGGGTCCAAACAGCATCATTTAAATCCATAGATTCTTACAGTTAACATTTTCTGTGGAAAATCCTTACTCTAGATAGCATGTCCTGGTACTGAGTACTAACTACCTGCAGACCGGATTTGAGAATAAGCAGGTCCTGAATATTACACTGTCAAGCCACATAGTGAGAATAATACGGTTCCCACAGAAGAGAACCTTCACTAGGAAAATGACTGCGCCTGGATAACCAGCTTAAATCTTCTTTCCCCCTCTATAGTAGAAGTCTCCTTATTTTATAGCATAAACTACAAAAGCACCATTACTTTAGAATGCAACCTCAACGGTAGAATGGAGGAAGCAAATTAAACAGACATTCCAAGTGATTAGCAAATTCCTTTGTTTCCTTCAAATGAAAAGGCTTTTATTAGAAATCCATCCTGAGCAATCACGCCAAGGACAGGGCGATCACTTACTGGGGCTTTTCTGTTCAAGGTGGAGCAGAATCTGACTCAGTACTTAAATCAGGAGGCTGTACCTTTCACTGTAATTCAGACAGCATCTATTGAGAGATTTTTACCATAGGAAAAATACTGTGGATAGTTTCAAGTCGGTCAATTCAGTGACAAGTACTCTGTGCAGAGCAAAATCCCCCGCTTGCTTAGAGTCCGAGTTAAAACCACGTGCTGTGTAAATGTTGCATAGCATTTTTTGCGAAGTTCTTTACAAGTCGCTCTCTAGCTTTGTGTTTTCCCCGTGCCAGGCCGGACGTGCTCTCAGAGATCTCTCCCGTACACTGACTTGTAACGTAGATATTCCTCCAGACACTGGATTGCGTTTTCATCTACATTTGGGTCAAACTTGTTGGCTAGCAGATGATGGTTTTGGAGCATCCAGTGAAGATCACCTACCCCATACACACAGACGGCCCGTTGGTGGGCACCCGTACACGGAGGGTAGGGTGCCCCTTTGCTGACATCGCCCTCCAGGTAGGACCACTTCACCAATCTAGCAACAGCATTGACATCAGAGACCTCATACTTATCGTTATAAGGCACCGATCCTGGCATGCCTGGCATCCGGTGGAGGGTGGCCCAAATATATTCATCTGGGCTGTAAGTATCTTTTGACCACTCCAGCAGCCGCTGCGCCGTCGGGTTTTCAAAGAGGGCTTGAACAAAGTCCCTTGTGACCACAACATAGGCATTGCCCGTGAACATGGGTGAGCCATGGGGCGGGAGGCTCTTCTCCGTGGCGGTTCGGATCACCGAGTTCTCCACGTGGTGGTGGTACTTCCAGCGAGCCGCCTTGATCGACGAGGGTTTCTCAGATTCCATATTGTTTTTCCCATTTAGAAACTTCAGGGTTCGGACAATCTCGGCGTTAGTTTTGATGGGGAAATCGGTGCCGCAAGTGTTTAAGAGATACCTCCAGGGCACGTTGCTCTTGAGTAGCTCCTCCATGCAGTTCAGGTCCGCTTGGACCCGGGACCAGGATGCGTACACTACTCTCTCCAGTTTAGTGGCCACAAAGACATTTTCGAAGCAGGAGGCGATCCCTCGGACTGCCTCCTTGAATTCGTCCGGGGATTTCAGATCTACGTGGACACAGTATATATTCTGGGGCGTGTAGATGGACCTTAACAATCTTTCGAACATCTCAATCTTCTCATGCACTACCATGGAATATGCAATAGGAAAATCTTCCTCCTCTTTGCTTAGTGGGAACTCAACAAACCTCCTGCGCGCTTTGAAGTGAGTGCAGTCCTTAGTCAAGTTCACGTAATCTTTTGGGGCTAAAGGCTCCGATTTGGTTTTCGTCTCTAGCCTGCTCAAAAGAGCCTCCTCTACTGCTTCTACATCCCCTCTGATGATCCGAGAGCAGTTGATCTGGCCGCTGGGAGACAACTTCAGAGACTGGTAGAGATGATCCTTGCAACTCTCGCTCTTCAGATACACCGTCTCTTTCCCAAGATCACTGAAGTTGCATTCCCAGGAGGAGTATTTCAGCACCACCGTGGCAAACAGCATCAGAAATCCCATGAACAACAGGCGCTGAATCTGACACAGACACTTTCTCTCCCGAAACATCTTGGGAGCGGGGGCAAAAGTTTCTTCCCAGTGATAAATCCACTTCCTAAATCAAGTTCCTCTTAATCAGCAGGATTTGGGGTTACAACATCTGCCTCCCGGCTGGTAACGAACAATTCGATCTGCGTGAGTGAATTAATCCTGGGTAGCAGGTGCATTAAGAGCAACGGTTCCACACCCTTGTCTTCCTTTTGTGTAGTTATCTGAGCTCTGTTCAGCCTGGGCGGGGCAGAGGTTTAGTCACCAGCTTGATTGTTTCCCCCTCCCACCCTGAGGTGTGGAAATACTTAGCACTGAAGACAAGGTGAAATAAAAATCGGAAGTTTCTACCCTCCCACTCCCCTTTACGTGGCGTTATCTTTATTAGGTACTGGAATGTCTGGTACATCCAGTAGTTGGACTGGTTGCGTTGTTGTCTGTCTCCTGCGGGAAAAAAACAGAGGAATACACAACCTTTACCTTTAATTGTTAGCTCCCTGCGGAGGTGCGACCCGCACCCCCATGATCCACAAGATGCCCACTTCCTATAAAGGTCAAAGTAATACAGCCTACAAACCCCTAGCCTATAGGAAGCGCTGCAAATACACAGTAAGGAACAGCCCTGCATTGACAAGGTGACGGACCAGAGGATCGAAGGGGTCTTCATCTCTGTCTGACTTCCTAGAAAGGGAAGTAAATCCACAGACAAGCGTATCCTCCACGCATTCCGTTTCTAGCTAAGTGTATGGCTATCTAGGCTGTTAGCGTCGTTAAAATAAAGCAAGAAATAATCCTTCGAAAAGTAACTCTGCCCTCTGGGGCTGACAGTAGCAGCGAAGTGAGGTTGATTTAAAACCCTTTGATCGGCATGAGTAGTACTTCTGACGACATCTTGGCACCTTTCCAACATGGCTAAGCAGAATGTGGCTTTCCTGACTTCTCTCTCCTCTGCTCACCTGTATCCAGGGGTGAAAGTAACTTAAAGGACTTACTAGTAGGCCAGAGTCCTGAGTGGGGGCGTGGCCTCAACTGTCAGAAGCCTGGGATTTAAAGGGCTGGGGCAGGAGCACGGGGCCATGTAAATCCCCTCCGGAGCCCGCTGCGGGAGCTCCAGCAGCACTTTAAAGGGCTGGAGCCCTGGGTCCTTTAAATCACCGTTGTGGAAGCCTGTCCAGTCTGGCACGGCGTACTGGCTCGTGCCGGTATGCCATACCGGACCATACCGGCTTACTTTCACCTCTGCCTATATCTGGATCAAGAGTGAGGCAGCAAATACAGATTCCCCTCTTGCTTCTCCCACTGTCTCCCTCCCTCCCTGTTTGCCTACCCGACTTGTTTGCCTACATTTCACTGCTACCTTCAGTAGGACTCCTGACTCTTAAAACGGGGGCAAAGGGTGGGGGCGCACTTCACTTCCCAGGCATCTTCTCGTCCCATGTCCCCCTCTCCTGGCTTGGTTTGAGTGATGAGTCCATGTGTGACTGCTAAGTTGTCCTCACTTACAAATAGTATTTGCACCCTGTGAGCCAGATCCTGGTCCCATTGAAGCCAATGACCAGAGCTCCCACTGACTTCAATAGGACCAGGATTTGGCCAACAGGGTGCCAATTGCACTGCACCTATTTAAATAAAAGACAAGTGACTCCATGACTCACTGCAAATAGCAGTTTATTTCAGTATCTCCTAGCTCTCAGCTTTGCTGCTGCAGAAAAACCAGCTTCTCCTTGGGGAAGGCAGGAGCTCCTTTGTTTCTTTAGTGTCTTTCAGAACTCTGCTGTTTGTCTTCAATGGGATCTTTAATTCTGATGGATAAAATAAAGCCAGCTCGCCTTTGGGGAGGTGGGGATTTGGAATCGATGTGTGCACAAAGCCTTAACTTAGAGCAGAACTTGCCCCCAGATCTGAAAAGCAGTGTCAGTTTCCATAGTACTTTCAGGGCTGGTTTAACATCTAAATTTGAATGTAGATGGGACAGGAAGGAACTGGACCCTTTAAACAGTAAAGCTACTTGGAAAAGGTAAGTGAACAGTTTGCATTTCTCCTTCCACTTATCAATGACAAATCTTAAAGGGGTAGAATATAGATGAGCTATTTCCTAGCATATTCTTGGTTGTATTTTAATGTTTTTTGTCCCCAAACCTGCAAAAGGAACCAGGCAAGCAGAACTTTGCACCTGACCTCACTTAGTTCTGTATGGGCACTGTAGGGTTTGACTGCCCAGTTCTTTTTGCAGGAGCTGAGCCTTAATAACTATCTCTTTCTAACATTTCAAAATATTAAAATCTGCTGATTCTGATGTCAGCTTATTCGGGGTGATAAATAAGTGGCCATATTTCTTTCTGACAGTAGGCCTAGAAATTCAGCCTGGCACTGCAGAAAGCACTGGTGTGCTGCAAATATCTTCTCCATGGGATCCTCCCAAACTACCCCCAATTCAATTGATAATTACCTGGAGTGAACATTCCTGGAGAGAAAACAGACAGGGACTGGGAAATATTTTTCTCACTGGAGGAAAATGTTTTCCCATGCCAAGGAAGGAGATACTAGGCAAATAGACTTGTACAAGGAATACTTGTTCAGAAATACTTATGACTTGTTTCTGATAAATACTTAGACTGCAGGAGAGCATTCAGCTTTTGTATTTCAAGGGAGGATGAAGAAATATAGGCCTAGCATTCCCCTATTCGGAGACACTCTTGTGAAAAATATCTGCTGCTGGACGCAACCTGGTATATTCCAAGACAGGCAATTTTCTCTCTTTAGGAGAGTTTTATGCTCCCTGGAGGTAAGTTGTTTCTGGTGGAGATGGTTTAGTTGTAATTGGAGAGAATATGAGCTCCATTAGAGACTACCACTCTGCTTTCAGTTTGGTGGCATCTAATTTAGGCTAATAGCTCCCGGGAGCTCCCTGTAGTGCTGCTGTTCTGGAGTATTCGATGGAGGTGCTAGAAGTCTTCTAAATGCCATCTCTCTTCTTCCACACCTTGATCCTCTAACTTAAATTACAGCATCCAAAGACTTAAATATGCATTCTCTTCCATACAGACTTCCCTTGTGCATTAGGAAAATAAGATTGCAATTACACAGTTTTAGTCCTTTCTAGTTCAGGTTGCAAAGTGCATTGTAGGTGTGTCACACCTGGAAATGTTCTTGTGGAAAATCATAAAGCACTCTTGCAGATAACAGCAATAATGTATACAAATAATGGCCCTGTAATAGCTCCCGCATGCATAAAATGAAGAAGAAATTGTAGGTCTGTACACTAACTTTTCAAAGTGCAAAGCTTTCCAAATTTGTCTTCTAATTCCTGCCTAATTTTCTAAGAACTACAGCATTATAATAATATTTCAAATGCCAGGGATATAAATGCCCCCAAACAGCCAACTACTCCCTAAGGAGGGTTTGATCACTAATCTGGAGCAGGTGGGAGCAGACTTGGATCAATTTTGAAAACGTTTATACCTTAGGGTGTCCAGACAGCAAATGTGAAAAATCGGGAGGGGAGGGTAATAGGAGCCTATATCAAGCTCTGTCCCTATAAAATCGGGACATCTGGTCACCCTATTATACCCCCATCATCAACCCATGCTCCTTGGCAGGCAAGAAAGGCTACAGCCCGATGGCTTTTGTTTACATAGTGATTCTGGCATGTAGACTTCCTGTATGAGATGCCTGATGCCAGTTCCCAGCTGCTTGTGTACACCTCATACAGGAATTCAGCTGGGGGAGGGTGGGGGAGTAGAAACAATTTCCCGCCTGGACACAGGTTCATTCGTTCTTGTTGCGGGGCAGGGCAGGGGCAGGGGCAGCTTTCCTGTCTGGCTCAGCCAGCCGGGGGATCGGGGGATCCGTCTCCCCTTCTCCAAGGACTCGTGTCTCGGTGGAGGTTCCATTACAGCCAGGATGGACATCCGGCAATGTAGAAGTCCCAGCCCAGAGCACCAGTTAGCTGCAGCTTTCCTTCAATCACACAGCTGAGGCCTAGTGTGCCATCCCCAGACACTGAGTATATACCTAGAGTGGCACTGTAACCATAACTCTTACTGTATATGGGGTGGTATTTTATGGCATGTCTTTGGTTGGAGTCATCCACTAGTCCACTGATATTTGAGAAGAGGTGTGTTCTTTCTGATACCCATTCATTAGGTGATAATTTGAACTCGGTGAATAATAAACTTATTCACAAATTGTTCAGTACAAAAAATGCCAAAAGTCTCAATTCTGTTTGGACAAATGGGAAAATATTTCACAAATTGTCATTCCCTTTTCACTTGCATCAATATGTCATCAAATTGCTTGTTTAAAATTTGAAATTCTGGTCAATTCTACAGTTGTCTGAACAATCGGGGGGGAGGGGAAGTGAGATTAGCACAACTTCATACTACTTTCATTTAAACAAAATGTGGGATATTTTGACAAGCTCTTTATTTGCAACAAGATTACCTACCAGCTCTAGGTATGATGCTCTGTAATAAGGGTAGGGGTGGCTCTAGCTTTTTTGCTGCCCCAAGCACGGCAGTCAGGCAGCCTCGGAGGCATGCCTGCGGGAGGTCCGCAGGTCCCGCGGTTTCGGGGTACCCTCCACCATTAATGGTGGTTTGGAATCTTGATGACTCCCATTAACCAGGACAATTGTCTGCAGATGGCTGTATTTACCTGTAAGTCTTCCTGTATACGTGTGTGCTGGCAAGTGAGCAATGAAGTCTTGCAGTGACATGTGATCATGTCACCTGAACTGGAATCCATCTTTAACCTGGTGTCTTTCCATTGAGAAGGAGGAGGTGGGAACCCAGAGAAGGCCAAAGGATTCCCCCCTTATGCAAAAGATATATATAAAGGGGTGGAACAGAATAAAGGGAGAGAGGAGCCATCATGAAGAATCCCCTAGCTACTACCTGAGCTGGAACAAGAGCTATACCAGGGGAAAGAATTGTGCCCAGGCCTGGAAGGTGTCCAGTCTGAGGAAAAAAACTTACTGAAGCATCTCTGAGGGTGAGATTATCTGTATTCAGTTTGATTAGACATAGATTTGCGCGTTTTATTTTATTTTGCTTTGTGACTTACTTTGTTCTGTCTGTTACTACTTGGAACCACTTAAATCCTACTTTCTGTATTTAATAAAATCACTTTTTACTTCTTAATTGACCCAGAGTATGTATTAATATCTGGGGGAGCAAACAGCCATACACATCTCTCTATCAGTGTTATAGAGGGTGAACAATTTATAAGTGAGCAATTTATAAGCTTTATACAAGGCAAAATGGATTTATTTGGATTTAGACCCCATTGGGAGTT